CTTCTGACAACCTTCACTAGGGTAAACCCTTCCAAATTGTCTACGTGATTTCCTTCTACTTGTTCAACTCAAGTCCTTCTTTCTCTCATTCCTACCACAATCTTTTACTATAGAATCAAGAAGTAGAAGTTGTGTCCCAGATATCCATCATGGCTTCATTAGTCAATTAGTTAATAAGCATTTATTATGCACTTACTATGTTCCAGGCACTGTGCTAAGCACTAGGGATGCAAAGAAAAACAAAACACAGTCACTACTCTCAAGGAGCTCCCAGTTTAATGAGAATAGATTGTGCTAGACTAATGTTGAATGGATTACTAAACTGATAGATAAAATAATGTTGTTTGAGGGCAGCTAGGTGGCGCAGAGGATAGAGCACCGGCCCTGAAGTCAGGAAGACCTAAGTTCAAATCCGGCCTTGGACCAAACACTTGACACTTACTAGCTGTGTGACCCTGGGCAAGTCACTTAACCCCAACTGCCTAAAAAATAATAATAATACTGTTGTTTACCTTCATTTTAGAAAGTGTTTGATAAAATCTCTCATGTATTCTTATAGAAAGGATACACAATTGGGAAAAACATAATATGGTGAGATGAATTTAGAAATAGTTGAATGATCATACTTGAAGAGTACCCATTAACAGTTTTATGTCAGAGTAGAAGTAAGTCTCCATTAGAATTTTCTAGGGCTTAGCTCTATACTGTTTAATATTTTTTCATCAATTTCTCAGATAAAGGCCTAATATGTGGCATCCTTATAACATTTGTAAATGACACAAAGCTGGGGAGGGCATAGCTATATACAGAAAAATAAGAATAATATTCAAAAACATCTTGACAAGCTAGAACATTGAACTGAATCTAGTAAGATGAAATGTAGTAATACTAAACCTAAAGTTTTATAGTTGGATTAAAAATCAACTTAACGGGTATTATATAGGTTGAAATGGCTAGAATGTACTTTATTTAAAAAAGATCAGTGTGTTTTAGGAGAATGAAAGCTTACAGTGTGTGATATGGCAGGAAAAAAATATAACAACATCTTGGGCTGATGTAGTCAAAGGTGAAATCAATGGTCCTCAGCAACATATTGGACTGAGGTAGCAAGGGGTGGAGAGGAGATAGTGAAGAGTTAAGTAAGACGCCCCGATTGATAGCCTGGGAGCCTAGGGAACTGGGAGTGGTGATGGTTATTCTGCAGAAGAGAAGACTTGGGGAGGAAGGTGAGGAAGATAGCTGTTTTCAGCTAATGGAAGCATTTTCACACTGAAGAATCAGACTTTTCTTCTTGGTGGAACTAAGAGAATGGGTAGAAGTTGCAGAAAAATGGGTAGAATCTCTGTAAGGAAAAGCATTCCTAACAGAACTGTCTAAAAGTAGAGCAGATTGATTTAGGAAGTAATTAGGTCCCTATCACTGGTGTTCCTTAAATGAAATCTGAGTTGTACTTTTCTGGGATGTCCACATAGAGATTATTGTACTGTATGCTTCTCTGGAGTATTGTGTTTTCTTCTAAGCACCGTTTTTTAATAGAAGCCATTGCAGTTTATTCAGAAAAAGGGAATTAAGATGCTGAGGAACAGCCAAAAATTGCACATTAACCTAAGTTGAAGGAGATGTTCACCTTGAGTAAGAGAATTCTTGAGGGAGAGGAAGACCTGATAGCTATCTTCAAGTTTTAGAAGTGTCTTGTATAGGAACAATTAGACTGTTCTTCTTGACCCCAGAGGGAGGAATCAGGAGCAATAGCTGGAAGTACATGAAGTAATAATTAACATTGATGCATGATATACTTCTTAATCATTAAAGCTATTCAAAAGTAAAATGAGCTGCCTCAAGAAATAGTTGGTATGTTCTTCCATCACTCCAAAAGTGTTTGGGTGATGTCAGGATGAGTAATTGGTGATAATATAGAGGGAATTTTCAACTAAGGACGTTTTGTTATGGCCTGTGAAACTCATTCTTCTCTGAAACATATAATTCTATGAATATCTGGAAAGAAAAGAGCCAAGTATTTTGTTTATGTGGGATTAGGACTAGACCTGTTATTTCATTCATATAGGAGTTCTGAGGAGAGAAAACGCGCTCTCCCAAGGCAGTCTGGAACCTTTCTGCAACCTATAGTCTTAGAAAGTTCCCTAGAATACTGAGAGGTTAAGTGACTTGTCCCATTATCACAAGGTCACCATGAGCAGGAGGCTATACTTAGACTTTAGTTTTCCTTACTCTGCAACTACCTGTCTATTCGCTAGTCTATGTTGTCTCTTACTTGGGAATATAAGCATCTTTATTGTTTGGAGAAATTGGTTATGCATTAACAGCTGGTATACATTTTGTTTAATTGATACTGTGGAATGGAGAAGAACATTTAGTACACAAATTTGGAGGAAGAATTTGAAAAAGTATGAGATATTGCCAGGTGTGGTGGCATACATTTGCAGCCCCTGGTATTGCGGTAGCTGAGCTGATACATTGCTTGACCTTGGGAATTCTGAGCTACAGTAGGGCTAAACCTGATTGGGTGTCCATACTGAGTTCAGTGTGAATGGCTTCCAGGATGGGGGTGGAGAATAGGCATGTTTACTAAGGAAGGGATGAACCATCCCCAGTTGGAGCATGTCAAAGATTCCAAAGCTTCCCATCATACGTGGGATTGTGCCTCATTAATGTTTTCTGCACTTCCAGTTAGGAAAAGTAGAAGACTAAGTCAGAAAGACAAAGTCTCAAAGAAGAGTATGAGATATTGAACATAAGAATTATATTTTAACTGTAAGTTCTAAGATGAATTGTACATAGTATAACTGGAATCAAGGACTTGCTTCAAATCCTTATTTCATCTTAAACTCTATAAGCCTCAATTTCCTCATGTACATAATGGGGCTAATAATGGTTACACAAACTGTCTCAGGATGGTTGGGAGGAGACTGTTTCAAGTGTTACATAAATGTAAGTTATTATTAGATTTTTACCGGAGGGTAGAAGGGAAATGTAGCTGTTACTTGTCTTTCCTGTTTTTTACTCCCTAGAATTAGGATGCTTAGTCTTTGATAGTTTTGTTAAGCTTCAGAGGGGAAGTGTCTTGTCTATTCCTTTTCCCCCCCTTAAATCAGAGTTGTCTCTGGAATGGTGAATGAATTATTCCCTGTTTATAAGAACAACTCACATATTTTATCCAATAAAGTTAATAATTATTTTCTCCCAAAGCAGTTTTCATCCTCAGGCATCTGTGCTAAAGAACTATATGAATATATTTATTTTATTCTGTGATGGTACAGGGTGATATTAAAAGGATATACTGAGATAAAATTTCCTTTTCAATCTATAAACTCAGGAAAAATCAGAGTTGCAAAGTACCAAGGTCATATCTCCTTTTAGTCTTAGTAGTATAGAATACAAGAGCATTTTATACCTTTCAGAATTTAAGAGTTTCAGTGTTTGGATATTTACAATTAAAACACCAAAATGTTAAATACTACTCCCTCTGAAAAACACACACACACACACACACACACACACACACACTTATTGGAATTTATCAGTTAGCTCTGGTAAGAAGGACAAGAAAAAAAGGCTGGTGCTATTAAGTTTTTTTTTCTCTTGCATTACACAACTTTTAAAAAGTACATATAATCACAGATTTCTGACAAGCTTCTTTTAAAAATATTTTGTGGATTTTTTCATGTTTGCTGTAATATTATCTGAAGTAATACAATATTAAAGAGAGTATTTTAAATTCACCTTAATTAAGCTACAAGAATTATGCTTTGCTTGATGTAATGAAGAAAGAGAATTTAAAATGAAGTAGCATCATTGTGTTCATTTGTAAATAACGTATTGCAGCCAACTGTTTCTTAATTGCCCAGACTGTTGATAAATAATCCAGTCCTGCTGCTCTCCACAGACAGTTTGCTTTCGATCAGACCAGGCAATCCAAATAACACTAATTATAGTGAAACCCTTTTATAGTGAATTCTTGTTTGCCATGGGGGAGTACCCCAGTATAAGAGTAAAAGCATTCCCCCTCTGATAGTTTCCAGACACCTAAGACACATACTCAACATTTAATTTGTTGAGTGAACAGAAATTGAATGAATAAAAATGTATAAAGTTGTATATAGCATTGAAAAGGACATACACAAGGGTTTAACTACTTATGTCTTACTTTTTATGATACAGTTTTGAATTATGTTAATTTAATATCTGTAATTAGAAGGTGGAACAGATGTTGAGACTTAGTTTAAAGATATATGGCCATTAGAAAAAACTTATGTTACCAAATGAATATTCACAGTATCAATGGCTTTTTTTTTTACACTAGTAGAAGGATCTGACTTTACTAGAAAGAAGCTAGGACTTTAGGAAGTGTTCTATATCAGGGGATTCACTATAACATGATATCACTGTATTTATGATTTTATGGTGTTAAAATGAATATTAAATGAAACAAAATTCCCAAGGATTACTCAGGAGGCAGCTAAGTACATAACATTTTGTACAGATGGTTGGAAGGCACAATTTTGTTCCATCACCGCATCCGTATCCTTGAACGATTTCGACTGAAGACAGCATTTCTTTGAATTTTTCATTAAACCAGACGTCTTGAAATATGAATTCCTTTTATGTTTCTGTGAGTTTTGGCTAAAAGAACCCCAGTGAATAAATCATACAATACTACATGTCACCAGCACTTGTGAATATTTCTGCTTTGTTATTCTATTCTCAGTAGAGCACCATTGATTATCAAACTCAGCGGAGAGCATTTTATGATCATATATCTCCATTAGCTCCTAGTTTGACTACCATAGATTTTTCTGGTTAAGTCTGCATTATGTATTAGGAAGCCTATCTCTTCAATACAAAGTTTGATTTTATACTCTCTAAGCCTAGAACTCTTATTATGTATTATGTATAAAGATTCTTATCTTTTATGTGTAAAAATAAGAGCACTGTCTTTGTGTAACTGAAATGTATGCCATCTTTTTTTTCTTGATTCACAGACAGCATATTTGACTATGAAGATGAATTTCTACAATGAAATGGCTGTCAGGGTAAATATTTCTTCACTTGTTAAACAAATGAAAAGTCAATTGTGCTCTGAATTTGCTTTTAATAAAATGAGCAAACTAGAATAATATAAACTTGATTGATATGCTGATGGTAAGGAGAGGAAATATCATATAGTTAAAAAGTTAAAGTTATACTAAATAATCTGAGCATTGTTAAAATTTATGGCAAGATATAAATCATACAAATGTATGTTTTAATATGTTGTGTTTCTAAGATGTAGTAAGAGAAATACCCTAAATATGAGAAATAAAACTTCTTTTAATAGAAGAAAAGGAAGGTCATATAGGTTCCAAATACTACCAAATGTATAAGTCCTCTTCAAAACATTCCTGACAACTATCATTCAGCTTAATTATTTCTAGTGGCAAAAACCATATTATTCCATGAGGCAACCCTTTTTATACAGCTCTGATTGCTTGTTTGCTCCTTCTTACACTGGATCCTACTTACTGGCCTATAACTTAGGTCACACAAAATAAAAATTATTCCTCTCCCACATGATACCTCTTCACACATTTGAAAATAGTTCACTTTCTCCATGTCTTTTATTCTCTGGGCTAGATATTCCCAGTTCCTTCAATGATTCTGTATATGGCAGAATTTCAACTCCTGTCATTATCCTGGTCAGCCTCTACTGGTCATGCTACAATTGTGCAATGTACCTCATAAAATGTGGAGCACAGAAATGAATGCAATAATCTAGAAGTTATTAAACCAGGACCAATTGTAGTGGGCCTAATTTTTCCTGGAACAACCACTAAAAATCAATTCTTATGATTCAGTATGTCACAGAGGTGGCCTGATTTTTTTTGAAGGCTGTCAGTAGACTGCAAGCTCTGCTGGGTCCTACCAAGCTGGAAAGAGTGGGTATGGGTTCTACAGAGGGACTTCATGTATTTTGTCTGAGTAATAGCCTAAGTTCAAGTAGTATCATTACAAGTTTGACTGCATAGTGTTGAAGTTTGACTATAGCAATTCATAAAGACCAACTTGAATGCATTGAAGAGTTGTCCTCTGCTGTAGTCTATCCACACAGCTAAATATAAAGATAACAAGTATTCTTGGTCTGGAAATTAGTTTTTTTTTCACTATTAGATGAAAATTTTGGTCCACTGACTTGATACTACAATTTTTTTTTTTGGGTGAGGCGATTGGGTAAAGTGACTCGCCCAGAGTCACATAGCTAGTGAGTGTTAGGTATCTAAGGCCAGATTTGAACTCAGGTCCTCCTGAATCCAGAGTTGGTACTCTATACAGAATAATTTTATCATGAACTATCTAGCCAAGTCTCTTAAAAATTCTGATTTACCCTCTATAAGTTGATTTGTACAATTGCTTTTTTGAAGCTACAGTATAAAACTTTATTTACATTTATCTTCTTAGATTTATCCTATTTATTGTTCAGCCAGGTGAGATCTTTTTGGATCCTGTTAAAGTCATTCGGTGTATTATCTACCATTCCCAGATTTGTGTCTTCCATAAATTTAATAAATGTGCCACCTATATTTTCATTTGAGTCTGATAAAGATGCTGAATAAGAGAGAAACAAAGGACTGTGTGTTCCTGGACAAGTTATTTAACCTCTGTTTGCCTAAGTTTCCTCAACCATATAATGGGGATAATAATAACACTTATTTTGCTAGATTGCTGTGAGGGACAAATGAGAGTATATTTGTAAAAAGTGCTTAGCACAATGCCTGGCACCTAGTAGATGTTTAGAAAATGTTTATCTTATCCATCCATCTATTTTCCTTTGATTCTTCCCCATGTCTACCAAATAGGAAAATGATATGTAATGTAAAAAAAAAATTAAAATGAAATCTGAGTAACAAGGAATTAAAATTAAGCTGCAAATGCTTTTGCCACCTAGTTCTCAAAACTACCTAATCCAATACCTTCAGTATTGGTCATGGTAGGCAGGGTGTTAGGGTACTCAGCATAGAGTATTCTGGGTTTCTTGGCATAGGCATGAGAAGAATGTAGAAACCCTGGTCCCTTTGCTGTTATTGTTGAGGTCTAAACTGTATCAGAGAAATCTTGGGTCCAGAAAACACTGCTTCTCAAGAACTGGAGCTTCAGGGTGCTTAGATCAGATTGCTTTCCATCTCTCAATGTTTCTCCTGCTGTCTTGGTTTTCTCTGGAAATTTTTTTCTTGTGAAAGTTCCTCACCCTTTGAAATTTCTGATGATGTCTTAATACATTGAATCATTGGATGATAGATGCAGAGCTGGAAGGGACCGTGGAAGTCATCTAGTTCAATGCCCATGATTTTCAGAAGAGGAAACTGAGGCCCGGAGAGATGAATTGACTCACTCAAAATGCCACAATTAGAAAGTGGCAGGCTTACTATTCAAATTCATGCCCTCTGTCTACACCATTTTCTGATCTAAATTAAGTAGAAACAAATATAAAAATTTATTTGACCTAGTCAGTTAATGACAGGGTAATTGTAACAACCATTCCAAATGCTCCTTTCAGTCTCCTCAGGAGATCTCAAAGAACTTGATTTTTGCTCTGTACTAATAGAGGCAGGTTGCACTTAGATCCTGACATAAATGACTGCGGTATAGAAAAGGAGGTGGGCATATGAAAGTGAACCTGACAGGTAATGTCAGAAAAAACATAGGAAAAATTAAACTCTTTCATGTTCAAGTTAAAAAAAAAAGATCACACTTTTTATAGCAATGAATTCTAATGAACCCTAACATAAAAATCATAACAATACAGATTGTATAGTTTGTGATAAGGAATTCAACATCCAAAAAAATAAAATCAGAGACATGACCTTGAATATTGTAAAGCAAAGATACAGTTATATACTTCTACAGTCATTTGGAATGTCAACATCATGCTCCAAATCCTATAAAATGGGCATTAATTTATAGTGTCTATGTATTGTGTATACTCTACTTTAGAAGGCATGCACAAGAAACAGTAGCCTGGCTTTAGAATTAGCAAACCTGGATTCAAATCTCAGATCTGCTGCATAATATTTGGGTGGCCTTTGACAAGTCATTTAAACTCCTGCAAGTTTCATTTTTTCCTCATCTGAAAAATTAGAGAACTGGACTATGTGATCTTTAATGTTTCTTCTAACTCTAAACCTTACATTTCCATTACAGCACAAGGGGATCCTACTGAAGTAAAAAAAGTATAAATGCAACACACAACAAAAAACTCTAGTGTAGCATTAACTTGAACTATACAAAGCTAATATCCTTGTTATAGCAAACATTAGTTAAATATTTAATCAATAATAATAGTTTTTCATAGCTTCATGAATTTTAGGGTTGGAAGACAAATTAGAGGTCATTTAGTTTAATTCTCCATGAATTTTCAAGTGAATAAACTGAAGTTCAGACTTTACCTGCTTTCTTAGAATTTAGAAAGAATGTTGACTAGGAAAGACTGAACTGACGCCTTCTTTGTTTACTTACATTTCTCTGTAGAAAGCAGAATAAGTAAAAATCATACCATTAAGCATTTAACATTCTTTTAAGACATTACTAAGGGCTTAACAGAAGCAGCAGAGATTAAGAAGAGGTGGCAAGAATACACTGAAGAACTATTTAAGAAAGATCTTAATATTACCACTAACCATGATGGTGTAGTTACTGATCTAGAACCAGACATCCTGGAGAATGAAGTTATGGGTCTTAGGAAGCACTACTAACGATAAGGCTAGTGGAAGTGATGGAATTCCAGCCAAGCTATTTAAAAGCCTAAAAGATGATGCTGTTGAAGTGTTGCACTCATTTTGCCAGCAAATTTGGAGAACTCAACAGTGGCCACATGATTGTAAAAAGATGTTTACATTCTCATCCTGAAGAAGTACAATGCCAAGGAGTGTTCAAATTACTGAATACTTGCACTCATTTCACACACCAGCAAGGTTATGCTTAAGATTCTTCAAGCTAGGCTTCAGTAATATGTAAACTGAGAATTACTAGAAGGGCAGGCTGGTTTTAGATGAGACAGAGGAATTAGAGACCAAATTGCCAGCATTCGCTGGATTATGGAAAAAGCAAGGGAGTTCCAGAAAAACTTCTACTTCAGCTTCATTGACTACACTAAAGCCTTTGACTGTGTGGATCACAACAAAATGTGGCAAGTTCTCAAAAAGATGGGAGTACCAGATCATATCATGTCTCCTGAGGGACCTGTATTGGAACCAAGAAGCAATAGTTGAAACTGAATATGGAATAATGATTGGTTTAAGATTAAAAAAGAAGTATGACAGGGCTATATATTGTCACCTTTTTATAGTTACATGCAGAATGCATCATGAAAAATGCCAGGCTGAATGAATCAAAAGCCAGAATTAGGCTTCTGGGAGAAATATTAACAATCTCTGTTATGTAGATGATGCCTCTCTGATGACAGAAAGTGAAGAGGAATTAAAAAGCCTCTTGATAAGAGTGAAAGAGGAGAATGTAAAAGCTGGTTTGAAGCTTAACATTAAAAAAAAAGACAAAAATAAAATCTTGGCAATGAGCCCCACTACTTTCAGGCAAATAAAAAAAATGGAAGCAGTGGCAGATTTTATATTCTGGGGCTCAAAAATCACAACAGACAGTGACCACAGCCATGAAATTAAAAGATGCTTTCTCCTTGAAAGGAAAGCTATAGAAAATTTTGATAACATACTAAAAAGCTGAGACATCACCTTGCTGACAAAGGTCCATATAGTCAAAGCTATGATTTTTCCAGTAGCAATGCCTGGCTGTGAGAGTTGGACAATAAGGAAAGTTGAGCACCATAGAATCAATACTTTTGAGTTGTGGTGCTGAAGAAGACTTTTGAGAGTCCCTTGGATAGAAAGATCAAATCAGTCAGTACTTAAGGAAGTTAATTCAGGCTATTCACTGGAAGGTCAAATACTGAAGCTGAAGCTTAAATACTTTGGCACATAATGAGAAGACAGAATTCATTGGAAAAGACCCCGATGTTGAAGAAAAATGAAAGCAAAAGTAAAAGGGAATGGCAGAAGATGAGATGGTTAGATAGTGTCATGGAAACAACAAACATGAGCTTGGACAGACTGTAAGAGTTAATGTAGTATAGAAGGGATGCTATGGTCCATGGGGTCACAAAGAGCTGGACATGACTGAATGACTGAATAACAGCAAGGACTTTATTCATGAAGATTTAGAAATCATAAGTTTTCTTTCTTCTTGTTTTGCTTTCTCCTCTCCTGCCACCACCACCCCATTCAAGAAGAATTTTGAAGGGAAAAGAAGTCACAAAAAGTTAATTTGAGATGGACAGTGCAGCAATCAATAGAAGTAGGAAGAGAGAAGGAGAGACAGAGAGACAGAGACAGAGAGACACAGACAGGGACAGAGAGACAGACAGACAGAAAGAGAGACAGAGAGAGAAATCTAGCTTTTTATCCCTTGTTGCTGGTTTTGACCTTGTACCTGTTGTTGTAAAGATTAGTTGTTATTACTACAGAGTAATTTTCTACTTTAATAATCTTAATGTTGGAGGGATACTTTTTTGCTTTCACTTGAGTTATTGACTATGAATTTTCAGCAACAAAACAAAACTCAGTGAGGGAGGGATTCTTTCTATAAGCAGATGGCTTTTGGTGTATCAAGGTTTTGCCATTTGTTTTAGTGCTTAAAATAAACATTATTTATAAGACCACTTACATTTTGATGTTACTTAATGAGGAATATGCATCATTGATTTGACTAGCTTAAGAGGTCATTTAGAACTTGCCCGTTAACAAGCTGTAATCTGCTGAGCACACAATGACTTTGTTTAAAATTATCTATTCAGTGCTGATCAATGATAATAATTGTTTTGTACCAATCACTTTTGAAAGTTGCTAATTACTTTGAAGGGCATGCACACCAGTTATTTTTTGGAAGTACTAACTCATTCACCTTGGAATCAAAAAGAAATATCATTGTTAAAATTTGCACTGTCTCACAAAAATTTATATTCAAGTGTTGACACAACAGTTGAATATCAGTGCTACAAAAACATATATTAAAAGTCCAAAAAGCCACACATTACTAAAAGAAGTAGTACAGGTAGTTCAGTAGAAGTATTATCGTAAGGGAGCTCCTAATTACAATACAGCATTGGGTTAGATCTTGTTAGATAAATCAGGTCTTCTGAAACACAACAAATAATAGTGTTGATTGCCTCCCTGAATGACTCCTCAAGAAAAGATGCTACTTTATTGTTGTCTTTATTTCCTTAAAACATATAAATTGTGAAACAGACTATCATCATACAAATTCACAGAAGTCTAGAATACATCTACATACAGCTTTTTGGGCCTTGCACAGTTAAAGATAAGGCCAAGTTTTGAAGTTTTCAGTTTTTCTTCTGTAACTTTTCAGTCTACACTTTTTTCTACACTTTTACTGCCCATATTATCTATTTTGACTTTAAGTTCACGTGACCCTACCCACCCCCTAGTCCCTTCACTTGTCCCATATAACAAAACGAAGGCCCTATGATGCCTTGTTTCACTTGATGATTGCCTGATTATACTTTAATGAGGGTCAGTTTCAATAGGTTGTTTCTCCCATATGTCTCCTATGTTGGTCTACTAAAGGGCTGCACCTGGCTTATTGCAGAAGCACCTTTAGAGAATTCTCTATTAACATTTATTTTTATTTTTAATAGATTTTGTTGATGTATTTGGTTTTTGCTTTGTCTAGATTTTCTCTGGTGTCTCTCCACTTCCTCTGCTGAGAGAAACATTTCTTATAACAAACTTTTTTTTTAAAAAAAGAAAACAAAGAGAAAAAAAATTAGTAAAATCAACCAATACATTGAAAAAAGTATGACATTATTTGCAATGTTCCACACTGATGGATCTGCCACTTCTATAAAGGAGTGGGAAGGAGGTGTCTTCTCATATTTCTCCTTTGGAGCCACGCTTGTTCTCAAAATGGAGAGAAAAGAAGAGACAGTCAAGCTAATATAGGATCAAGCTAAACTGAAAAGGAATGAAATTCTAAGAGAAGTAGAATGGTTTTTGGAAGGCTTTGCAGATCACACTCTGAATGAGAGGAATTAGGTAATAGGGGCTAGAAACTACCTAATCATAGGGCAGAGAAGTCACCAAGTATGGAGAAGCTTACAGATCAAATTTGTCCTGAGGTTGTTATTTGGAGTTTGCTCTGACAACAATCTTGGCTCTTTCTTTGATATCTTTGGGGTATAGGCCTAATAGTGATATTGTTGGGTCAAAAAGTATTCACAGTTTACTATCTGGGGGCATAGTTGCTTTCCAAAATGGCTGTAGCAATTCACAGCTTGACCCTGCACATTTTCCTTTTTTTTGTCAACTTTGCCAATATGATGAATATAAAGTAGAACCTTTTAATTGCTTTAATTTATGTCTATTACTTATTTGGAGAACTGTTTCATATGGCTACTGATCGTTTGGATTTTCTTGTATGAAAACCCTTCATATCCTTCAACCTTTTATCAATTGAGGAATGACTCTTTCTTATAAATCTTAATCAGTTCCCTATATATCCTGGACACAAGACCTTTTTAAAAACTTGCTACAAAGATTTCTGCCCCTCACCCATCCCCCTCCTGTAAACTAATTTCCCCTTCTAATCTTTGCCGCATTAGTTTTGTTTTTGGGGCCGCTAGGTAGTGCAGTGGGTGGAGAGCCTGGCCCAGAGTCAGGAAAACCTGAATTAAAATCTGGCCTCAGATACTTACTAGCTGTGTGATTGGGCAAGTCTCTTAACCCCTGTTTGCCTCAGTTTCTTCATTTCAAAATGGGGATAATAATAGTACCTACCTCTCTGGATTATTGTGAAGATCAAATGATATAATAATTGTAAAGTGTTTAGACAAGTGTCCAGCATATAGTGTTATATAAATGTTAGTTTTCCTCTTCCTCCTCCTCCTCCTTCTTACTTCCAATGATTAATTTAGGAATTTAGAATACTATCAAACTGTTATTAGAGAAATATTTTGAATGCATGATAATGTTCAATAATTGCCTTTTGTCCACCTAATATTTTTTAATAAATCTACGACTTAAAACTTTGGTCAAACTAATGTACTACTTTATAATTGAAAAGTCATGATTATGTTGGATATAAATTCCAATCTATGTTTATTTTTATTTTGATTCAACATAATAAATATTTGAGCACCATTAGTTTTCCTACAATATTGAATGTAATAAAATATATATTTTTGTGTAAACAGATTCAGAAATGCTGGAGATCATGTAAGATCCAGAAGTACTGCTTTAATTACTATTACTTCAAGGAATATCTGAGATCTATTTCTGACACCAATCAAGCAATCAGGTGATGAAAACAAAAATAAAATAGTGAAACTTTATCTAAAAACAAATGATAATAGTAATTTCAATTTAGGGGCAACTAGGTGGTGCAGTGGCTAGAGTATAGGGTCTGGAGTCAGGAAGACCTGAGTTCAAATCTGGCCTCTGATACTTACTGGCTGTGTGACTCTGGGCAAGTCATTTAACCCTGTTTGCCTCAGTTACTCATCTGCGAAATGAGCTGGAGAAAGAAATGGCAAACCACTCTAATATGTTTGCCAAGAAAACCCCAGATAAGTTTATGAAGAGTTGGATATTACTGAAATAACTTAACAACAAAAATTTCACTTTGTCCTGGCTTGTTTCCTACCCATTACCTATTTAGAAATGTCAAAAATACTAAATGTGATCTATTTTGCTCTTGAATAATTGCTCTATGAAATTTTAAGAATGTGTTAAGTAAGTTTTGTTGGATTATATCATCAGCCTGAAGATAAAATAACATCATTAACATATAATCTGATGCTAGCTTATAAAATGTATTGTTTTAAAAATAATTTGGTTGATAGGCATGAATGTATTTTTTAAATTAATATTAAAAATCATTCCAGTTTTTGTACTGTTGCATTGAATATGTGTGCGTTTGTGGAGGGGGAGGTGTATGCTTCATTTTATGGGGGGGTGTTTATAAATTTGGACCTGTGATTGAGGAAAATTCCTCTACCAATTTAGACAAGCAACTGTTCTACAGTCTATAGTCTTAGAGAGTTGCCTAGGGCAGTGACAATTTATGTGACTTACCCAGGGTCACCTAGCCTGTATGGGATAGACATAAGGATTTAACCCAGGGCTTCCTATACATTTATATACACACTTATGTATATAGCGAGTGCTATACAAATGCTTATTTCCTTCCCCCATACACATGTAACACTAGATGTTCTTTGAAGCATAGGGAGTCTAGTTACTCCTAGGTCCCTTCCTCCCACAGATAAAAAGAGGAGGAGAGGAGCTTGCTTTCTAGGACCAGCCCTCAGCAGCACCATGGCTTCAACTGGGTCATCCTTCCATGGAAAATCTGAATAGGCCCTGAATTCAAATTTTAAATTTCTACTTGAGAGAGTTATATGATCACTCATAAAACTAAACTGACTCGATAACCCTCAAAGAGGACTTTTAATGTCCTGTAAAAGAACAGCAGAATCATCTGGAAAATGAAACTCTTATGCACACTCTGATCTCAAGTAAAGGCATACCTACAGATAAAGGGAACAAACTGCTTTTTAAAAAGAGAATTGGGCTTATGAACCATAAGCAGAAGTGGGTGATAACAAAAATGGCTTTTTTTAAGGGCTTAAACTAAAAGTTGAGATGGGGGAGGGGAGAAGAAAGGACACTTTTGTCAACTATTTGGCTTCATGGCCAAGGAAGGAGTGGAAGTGGAGAATGAATAAATTCACCAAGTCCTAGTAGCATGGTTATTATTCAGTCATGTCCAACTTTTCATAACCCCATTCGGGGTTTTCTCAGCAAAGATACTGGAGTAGTTTGCCATTTCCTTCTCCAACACATTTTATAGAGGAGGAACCTGAGGCAACCAGGCTTAAGTGACTTGCCCAGGGTCACAAAGCCAGTAAGTGTCTGAGACTGGATTTGAACTTAGGTCCTCCTGAATCTAGGCCCAGCACTCTAGCTACTGTACCACCTAGCTGTTCTAAGTAAGAGAAGGACTTTCAGACAAATAGCAAGTTCTTCCTATACATCTTATGCCTTAAACAGATCAGTGACCAGAAAAGACTCCATTGCTTGTGATTCTATTTGATCTTCTTAGAGTAGCAGTGCCTTTACTTGGGATCAGCTTTTCCTTCTTCTCACCTAGATCTGCCATCCCAGTCTTCCCCATGTTGTGTGGCTCCTGCCTGTCATGGTGTTTGAGAGTCTTCTCTCAGCTGGGAAAATCACCCTTCCTGAAAGCTCCCTGACAATATAAGTTACACATATTTTGCCTGGATCTGTGATTTCCCTGATATGGAGAACTACCTTCATTCATTCATCTTCTTTAACTTACAATCATAGAGAGTTTGTCTTGGACATTGAGGAGTTAAATGAGTTGTCTGTAGTCATACAGCTGCTGACTGTTAGAGGCAGGAATTAAATGTAGGCCTGCCTGACTCCAATCCTGACCCTCTAACTTGTAGATTATGCTGGATTACACACGTATATGAACATGCATAATACATATGTGCATACGTTCACACTACATGCATAAACATACGTAGATTGTGTAACTGGAATTTTACAAAAGCATGGGGTACTTGGTATGCTGCTGCATTTGTGGAGGGAAAGCTAACTCCTGATTAGTGGAGAGTATGCTGACGACGCTACATTGTGACTACGGGAAGGATGAAGTTAGGTTAGAGCATTATGGGAGAGAGACAGGGTGGTTTGAGATACTCTTGGGGAAGAAAAGACTTTGGAAGCTACAGACATATTAAGGAAGCTGGCTTCTTAACATATCCCTGATTTCCTATTGTGTCCCTATTAACTTTGGATAGTTTCTCCTGGGGTGAAATTTTGGGGCCTCCCTCTTGGGCCCCTCTTACCTGAGATTTTCTCTTGGTCACATCTAAAGATTACTTTTACTTATGCTTATTATTTACCTCCTGATATATTCTAATTTGTATACTTTCTCTGATTTCTCTTTCCGTGGATAAATGAGTTTACTCCTTATTTGTTATAGTCATTTCTGTAACTAGCATTTAGTAGGAAGGAATTAAGGTGAGTGTAAGCTAAAGGCTAGTAACCAGGTAACTGGCTTTTTTTCAGAACCAGACTTGTACCCCTAAACTAGCAATATTTAGAGGAGATAGATATAATTCTAGTGTGATACCCCTCTTAGGGATAGACTGGGGGCTCTTCTCCTGCTATCTTCAAGTCTTCTTTGGAGAGGGATGGGCCAGATTCCCAAGATATCTCTTCATGCCATTTGTCATCTCATTCATGCACATTTAGACAATCCATGTGGAAATATATATCTTATACGCACACAATCTTATATGTACATATAAACAAAACACGTATATACACACACATATACACATATATACATATATACACATATGCATCTTATTATAACACTGTTGACCATAGAGTGGAATTCAGTGGAATTCATGTCTATCTTGTGCCGCATATATAGAATTTAGTAACTAAGGTATGGAAAGGCCTCATTTTAGTTATGGGGCTAGAAATAAAATCTAAGTCTCTTCTTTTTTGGTCCAGTGAATTTTTAAGACAACCAACTCATTTAACCTCTAATTGGTGTTTGTTTATATGGCTATGAGGGGGAAAGGGAAGGGAACAAACATTTATTAATGCTAAATACCCTCTATGTGCCAAGCACTGTATTAAGTACTTTACAAGTATTATTTCATTAGCGATATGAATTCAAACTTGTCTACAAATGACTTGTAATTCAGTATAAGAAAAATTCAGAATACTTAGTTTAGATATCAACACAATCATCATGTCTACCTTACAAAATCCCTAGGAGAACCAATTTTATTCCCCACAGATAGCTAATACTGAACATATTTTGTTTTGTTTTAACTTTTTTTAAGTGAGTCTCAGATCACTAGTTTTAATATTATTCAGATTTGGAGGTTTCATTGGCCTACAAGATTAATATAAGTTACAAAGGTAACATGACTGCCAAAAAAACAGAACTGCATTTTTAGGCTGTAACAAAGGAGCCAAGAGTTCCACTGTATTCTGTCCTGGTTGAAGCACAACTGGAAAATTGTGTTCAGCTCTGAGTATCACATTTTCATAAGGATACTTATAACTTGAAGGGCCTCTTCTATGCACCCTTAGGAAGGTGAAGAGCCTGAGATCATTCCATACAAATATCATTTAAAGGAAGTAGATGCTTAGCTGGCAAAAGAAAGGTTTATGGGAGGATACTGTAATTGCTGTTACACTTTTGAGAAAAGGGATTAGATGTGTTCTGTATAATCCCAGAAAACAGAATTAGAAGTAATGGATGAAAATTGCTGAAAGACAAATCTGAATTTGATATAAGAAAAAATTTTCCTAACAATTAGAACTATTAAAAGGTGGAATTGTCTGGCTTTGGAGGTAATGAATTTCTCCTCACTCTGTCTTCAGGCAAAAACTAATGACTGACTTCAGCTCAGGACTACTCTAGATGGTCTTTGAGGTCCCTTCAAAGTCTAAGATTCTATGTCTCTGTGACTTTGTGATTGAATTATTAAACTCTCAAAGGGACCTCATTATAATACACTTACCTAGAGAGCAAATAACACCTATACCTAGGACAGTCTTACAGTGAAGAGGCCCCATTGTATTTTGCTAACTATTTTGTAGCTGCCAAAAAGAGAACATCTTAGTTGCTCTCAACTTGATATGCTGGTACTTTTAACTTGTATTTATTGAAAACTCACTGTAATTATACAAATTAGGTGATTAGAATTATTCACTTAGCTAAGAAACTGTATTTCCCCCTTCTAATTCATGAGTTCAAATTACATGAACATATAGATAACTTTTCATGTCTATTTTTATCATCTTCACCAGTTATATCTTGTTCAGTATGGAACACTGGCTTCAAGACACCATGTTACAGTGTTATATTTTCAGTTTTTTCCTTCTTATTCCTTCAAGATTGTTATTTTATGTCCTGTTTGTATTCTAATGGTACTACTGAGGGCACCATCATCCTCCTAGTCACCTAGGCCTGTGACCTCAGTGACATCCTCATCTCCTCCCTCTCACTCTCCACACATTCAATACACTTCCAGATATCATTATTTTCTCTTTATAACATTTCTCATATATATCATCTTCTCCCCATTAACAGAGCCACCACCATTGTTTAGGCTGTCAGCTACCTCTTCCCTGGACTACTGCAATAGTTTTGTAACCAGTGTCTTTGCTCCAATTTTTTCTACCCTCCAATTCATACTCCACTTTGCTACCATGGTTTTTGATGATTTTGCTGCCATTATT